TGGTAGGGATGGAAATTAGGTACAAACAACACTAATGCATTGAAGGGCAAGAAAAGAGGAATATAAAACACCATAACTTGTATTAAAGAGAAAGGCCTACTACTAGAGGTCATGAAGTAGCAGAATATATATAAATTTTTGTTAATACAAAAAAGAATTACACATAACAAGTACAAACAAACAAGCAAACTATTGCAAATAGCTCAATGAGCATTTTCAATCACAAGTCACACACTTAACAATTGTTAGGTAGTAGCTTGTAGGTGATAGATTTTTAGGCTATAATCGGTAGACATGAATCTAAAAGCGATGATTGGTAGAGTCGGTAATTAGTCCTTTAATCTTCTATTTATGCTTACATTTATCATCTTCTAAAGTTCCTCCATCAACTGTTATGTCTATAGCGTCATTTCATGAATACTCATTATTTCTTTTACTATAAGTTCATTCCATAAGCACTATAAAATACTACAGTATTGTTAATATTCTTTAAGATTTCTAATTTTTATTTATATTGCAAGCGTTTGATCTTAGTGTTTAATTGCTTTATTTTATAGCTCATTGCTTTAGTCTTGTTGCTCAAATTACATATTAGACTAGGAAATTTGACTTCTACCTAAATTTGTATTTTATTTCAATTTATTCGCTCTCTAATCCCGCAATCTAGCCAATTTAAGAAGTGATAGGTTTTCCCACGAGGAGTTTATAAGGCTATTGTAGCCTTTTTAGTTTGTTTAATTTTTATTTTTTTTAACAACTTAAAAACTTAAAAATATCATAAAAAGTAGTTATAGATTACATTAACAAGTTATTTTGATTTATACACACTTAAGATTAGGACATTAACTGTTTTGTATATTGCTTTTCAATCATTATTTACTTCTTTTGTTATAAAATCCTCTTAGTTGAAGCTCAACACAAAAAAATCCATAATAGTTTTCTAACAACCATAATGGGAGTACTTGTTAAATGGCATAAAAAAAATTAAAATCCTATCAACTTGAGATAAAGGTGATGAGAATCACCCTCTTACGACATATACTTTTGTACAGGATAAATGAGAGTCTACAAGACCCTAATAAGTTGTTAATGTACTTATCCTTATGTCGATTGGGAAAAAAAAACCCCAATTAAAAGCTAGGTTTAACGAGGCACTGTAAATTGATAGAAATTAAATATTAGGCCATAACTCAATAGATAAAAAAACAACACAAATTAAAAATAGAACTCATAAAGAACCATTACCAAGAATTGATGTTAGCAACTAGTTAAATTACACACATATTGGTACGATCTAACATTAAAGAAAGGAAGAATGTTGTAATAGGAATTAGACATGATTTAGATACACTATAAACCTTAGAGAAATAGGCCTATACAAGTTCAAGTTAAACCATCACGGATGTAAGTAATCATCTAGAAACTAGAATTCCAAAAGTGACAGATATCGTGATTGATAATTTTAATCACTCTATATCTAAAATTGTTTATAAGATCTTCAAACAAGTAGCTTTAGAGGTAGAAAATCAAATAGGTGAGAAACTACCTAAAAGAACTAATCATATAAGCCCATCTAGGATAATTCTATTGAGAAAATCCTACATGATCCTTATAAAGAAGTAAGAGCTTATAATGAAAGAGAAAATCCATTTTTAAACCTAGACACCCTTTATAAACTCGTCCAAAAACCCATGATAATCGGGGATAGTCTTGGAGAGCATACCGATGAGCCTCGTGATTTTATAGAAATAAGATATCAAAATTATAGGCTAATAACTAAGATATGGAGGAAGGCAAACTAAATATAAAGGTGGAAAATGCTTGCCGATAAAGTAGCATTAGAAAGCCCTCATTTCCAACCTCTAGAACTAGATTCAGAATACATGTTAGAGGTTGTAAAACTAGCATTTGGACCTAAAATACAACAAGTTCACATGCCGACTTATAGTAAGCCTTATTCCTAATACGTAGATAGGGAATACTCGTATCCCTTGTGCTTAGCTCAAGTACTTGGATTAGGTATAGAAGATAGTTGTGTTACTATAGAAAGATATTAGGTGTGATGACTTACCCATTCAATGAATTTGGCACTCGAATGTTCCCAAAATCCATTTTTCAATTTCTTGATTTTATCATATTTAGCGGATAAGGACTAGTTGCAGCCTTAAAGCACATTTTCATATTCATATGTCAATATAGAGAAGTCAGCAGACGGTGACTTCTTAAAATTGAGGTGTTTCCTAACTCATTAGTTGAGAGACATTTACTCTATAAATCAACTTATTCCTTAACTTCATTCATTATTGGTGTGAGATGCAATCCATTTTCCAAGTTGATTTCTCAAAAAATAAGCCTAAGATAGGTCTATTAGACTTGATTAAGTTTAAACAAAATATTGGTAAATTCATGAAAGAATATTTAGATAGATTCATAGAATCCGAGTCAAGTATTGAGCCCAAATTCATGAGAATAAATTTATTGTAATAGCTCAACAAGTATTGGTCTATTTAACATGTACTTAATCACATTAGTCTAAAAAATTACATGTATAGAATGTTAAAACAAGTAATGTTTTAGTTTAGTAACTACGTGATATAAGAAAAAAAATACAACTTTTCAATAGGATAATACATAATTTCAACTAAAAATACTAATTAACATTTGATCCTTAATGAGAAGAAAAAAGCACATAAATGAATTTCCAGAGTGCCATAGCTTACCTTATTGAATGAAATCCTTGTATTGGTATTCATATAAAATGTTGTGATTATTAAGAAGATGGTGTTGAATACTCAATTGAAACGAGGATTGTTTAGGAGTTCTCGAGAACTAATCAAACAACTAGTTGGTAGATAGGTCAAGATACGGAGAGGTAGTGTTGTGACTTGTAAAAGAAACATTAGACCAACCAACTAGAATATATGCAAATAGTGAGAGGCATAGGAGGAGAATCATATAGTGCAAGCAAAATGCAAGTCGAGTGTCCGGAAGGTGAGTGGTAAAAATCCAAACGAGATGAAGCTTTAAGTATTGTCTACTTGTGTGAGTGAGAGAGTTTTGAGAGAAAGAGAGTTTAGAGAATGATTTTTTTTTTTAAAACTTAAAACAAAGTTAATTTTGTTGACCAAACTTGAGAAGTCAAGAGCCTCACAACTAACACCACCTTTATTTAATTTTCTTTCTAATCTTGCACACTTTTGAGCTTTAAGTGAAGTCTTTTTTTATTTTTTCTTTCAATATTAAATGACTTTAACTTAAAACAAAGAGTACAAAAACTAAATTAGAAAGAAAATTATATTTTCATCCTCAAAATGACAGGTGTCAACATTGTATTAAAATTATGTTAGTCAACTAATAGATTTTAGTCAAACTGATGGGAAAACATAATAAAGAAGTTATTTTACACTAACTTTCAATATTATAAGGTTGGTTATGAACTATATCCGAGTATAGGGGTTGTAACGATAATTTCGTTAAAGTATAGGAGCATGGAGTGTATTAAACTCAATTTATTTATGGTGTAATTTGAACTCATGTCCAAAAAAAAAAAAAAAAAAGGAATTATAACATAATAAAAATTAGTTAAGCTAATTAATTTTAGGAAAAATCCAACATATACAAAGGTTCGATTAAAATCCATCTTATCTTATAAATGGATTGAAGAAGAAATTCATTTAGATAAACTAGATTAGAGAATTGTTGAATAAGCAATGGTTGAGACGAGGATATTACAAATTCACAATAAAAAAATTAATTAGGCTAGAGATGAAGTTAAAGATAGACAAATCCTTTAAAAACGTTTTGTTGCTTTTGTTTGTTTTGTTTTGTTTTTTCCCTCCTCTTTTGAGAAATTAATCAGGAAGAACTAAAACAAAAATAAAAATGACATGAACTGAACTATATGGTATGAATATTTTATTTTGGTGAATAAATTTAAGATAATCTTATTTTTTAAAAAAAACTTCAAATTATTATGTATAATAATAGTTGTATCTCTCTTTCATGTAAATAGGAAAGTCATTCTAAAAATTACTATGGCTCTCATATATATATATAGATATAATTCTCAACATATTGAATTATTTGGGGCTGGAGTATTTGTTGGAGCTTCAAAGCTAATTATTTTGACCACGAAAAAATTATTTGATATACCATTAGTTCTATTCCTTTCTATCACATAAATACAGAGACCCATAAAAACGCCATGAATTCTACCTTGATACCAAATACAACTTCCTTCCTGAGTTTGAGTCTCGATGGACTCATTAGCCTGCTGGGCTTTATGGATAATAGTTGTGAGGCACAAAGTAGACTTGCAGACCATAAGGACCGCAAGACCGAAATAAATAGCATCTGCAATTTAGCCGTCCATCCAATTTTCTCTCTGTTTCTCTGTACATTTTTTTATGTCTATCTTTCATTAAAATAGATTCATAATTACTTTTTAATTATTATAAAATTTCTCTCGAGAACCAAACTCTGCCACCTAAAACACTTAGGAAACATGTACCGTAGGCCTAGGCCTACCTTGAGAAGAGCCATTTGTGTTCCATTTAGCCATCCCATTGGCGAGGATTCCAATCAGGAGCGCTAGCATGCACGGTCTCGAATTTGTATGATTAATCCATAACACATGTAATTCCATAATTTGAAGGTGTAAATAAGTCTGCAGGGATGTATGGACTAGGTGCTCTGCTTTAGGGTCGAGACACTTCCATGGAAAACAAATAGCAGATTTAAAATGCTAAAGAATAACGAACCACTTTCTTAAGTGAAAAATCATGGCAATTAAGACACATTTAATTCAAACGAGAGAAAATAAAGCGGCTAACAGCAGATTTTTGATCGATCACAGTAAATGAAAATGCAAAGGCAAAAGCTTGGCATCGATTTACTCAAGATTTACTTCCAAGCCCCAATATAAGTATAGCACACTATGCAGCTCCGTGTTACAAGAAAAAGGATTGAAGATTGTAAATTGTAATTCTGGAATGGCAGCATCATGTTGAAGATACAGACGCAAGCTGCCCCAACACAATTGGTATTGGATCACCATTTAGAGCCAGGTAGTTTAATCCATCCTTGAAAAAAGAGCAAACTGTAACGCATGGGAATTGGATGGACCTAAGACTTGGGCAGTAACGAAGCTGATAGAAATATTTTCTATATGGGCATGACCTGGCAATCTGAAACCGATTGTGACTTCGATCTCCACCGATGGTCACTAGCCATTGTAGCATTGATGCATTAAATTCAACTTTCCAAATGGGTGGCACGTTACAAGTGGTGCTATTGAGCTCGATATTGAACTCCAAGTTTATGTTAGTGTCTTCCCGAACAACATTGTCATTGGAGTCCACCACTGATGAAATTTTAATAGGAAGCAAAGAGAGGTTGTTCCTACGCACAACAGGAGGTGGGCAGCTGGCTTCATTGGCTATAGACATCCCATCGAATGGACTAGTGACCGCAATGTAATAGTCAAAACCGATGAGAACCTCGTTATCATTTGAATCGATCACTGCGTCTTTAGGAGGTTGAGCATCAATGGCCCTTTCAAATGATATTGCTGTGAAGGCAAAGATAAAGAAGGAGAAAACTAGAAATTTAGGGATCTTCATTGCTTGTGTATTATGTCAATAATTTTGATGCATTCAAGAAGTGCATACAAAGGGAAGAAATTTCTCCAAAGCAAATATTCGGTTTGGTTAAATTATACTAAAAGCGGACACAGTTTCCTAGTGGCGATTGGCCAAATACAGAGCTAGGTTTATAGTGACATTGTACAGAACTTGTAAATTCTACAAACCCTGAGCCCATGTATTCTCGGATTCGAACATGAAGCTTCGAGTTTAACTATTGTTCGAATGACAACAACAGCACTGATGTTAAAATTTCAAGTTGACGTCCTAATAAAATAACCAAAAATTTTTGGTGCTGCATTGTTTATATAAGTCAATTACTTAGTTAACTCTGCTCACCGCACTAGAAGAATCGATGAACCAGTTCAAGTGTTGATTGGACAAGATGATAATGTCCATATCCACGAAAAAGAGAGCGAGTTTCCTCCTAAGTTAGTTGGAGAAACTTCCTAGAACTCCCATTCCTTGCTACAATTTTCCTGTCTCATCCCGCTGAATTGGGACGTCGCAAATCTAGTGAGTAAATTATAAATTAGTCCCCCCTTAATTAATCATTCTTATTTTAAAAACTAACTATTTGATTTTTATATTTTAAAATCTATTTATTATTTAGTCTCTTATACTCATTTTTAATTTATATTGATTTTTTTTATTTTAAGAAATAGAAAAATATTGAAAAATATAGAAACATTGATAAAAAAAAAAAAAAAAGAGATTTGGTGAAATAAAAATAATATTAAATTAAGTATACTCAAAATTAATTAAAAGATTAAATAATAGTTTTTTAAACAAAAAATAAACTAATTATTTTTTTATTAAAACTATAGGAACTAATATATATATATATATATATATATATATAGAGAGAGAGAGAGAGAGAGAGAGAGAGAGAGTGAGAGAGAGAGAGAGAGAGAGGGGCTCATATATAATTCTTTGATGTTAATGAGGTGACTCTTTTTTTTTTTTTTTTTTTGGTAATCTTAAAGCTTAAATTTGTAATCGTAAGAGGTTGGTTCATTAGTTAAACAAATCTATTTATTTTTTATTTTATCTTATTTATTTATTTATTTGAATTCAAATCTTAAAATTAATATTCGGACAAAATTGTTTACTACATCGGTAATAGTCTTTATCTATCGATGTATCTTTTGTATGACAATCATTATCTACAAATAGGTTTATCTCATACTACAATATAGGATCTCATACAAACTATTGTTAATATAAATACACATACACACACCTAACAAAGTGTGGGGAGCTTTACATGGTATCAAAGCATAACACGATCCTCTCCTTTTCTCCACGCTTCTTAACCCCTTTCGTTATAATTTCAGCACATGGTTTCTAGCTCTTCTTCCTCTTCATTCAATCTAGTGTTGTTCAATGTCAACATCTCCGAGTTTGTTACTCGAAAAACTTGACATGACAAACTATTTAATCTAGGCATATCTCTTCCGTGACACCTCGACCTCGATCCACCGACTATTACCCAAATAGAAGTGACTAGGCAAGACGCATCATGCCGACACTACCTAAACCTTAATCATGTCTAGTACGTTGTACTTAAGAAATTAACGAGCACCTTACATAACAAGACTGTATATAGAAAATTTTACATGGCATAACTAATTACGAGTAACAAAATATTACAATTAGCGGTTGATTCCATACCTCTAAATTACGTACAAAACTAGTTTCAACATTCGTGTTACACATGAGCCTCTTAGGAGGAGCCAGCCGCATCCTTACTATTTTGTCCTTATCCCGTCACATCATAAAAAAAAAAAAAAACGACGAGGTGAGCCAAAGCTCGGTGAGTGGGATGATGCACATGATATGCAATGCTTTTCCGACTTCCCACCATACTCATCAATTTTAATTCCGGTACCTTGGGTACTAGCTAGTCTACTCTATTTTTAATCCAGGTGATTATCAAATCACCTTCTGCTATAATGGAATTATCCCTCGTTGTAGCCACTTGTTAGTGGGAATGCATCACTTAACGAGTGCAGTACACGGTTTAGAGTACACACATAACTAGATCGTTAATAACCTTTTTTTTTGTTAGGGTACCAAACCTAATCATGTAAACCAATTCTCATTCAATTGACTTTTCTCCATTTGCCCCACAATGCACATGATGCACGTGATGTCATGTGTATCATATTAAACATATCCAACCCATATAGGATCCGACTTCATATATTTTCATAGGTTCAACCCACACAAGGTTTTGGGCATGCTCATACCTCTTATCATCATGTTTTCCTTTGTTAGAATTAAAAATCGACGAATGGTATTGATTTAGCCATGGGCCTAATTGTGTATGTGGGTACTTTTCTTTTGTTTCCTATCATAATTCTAATCATTAATTTGTTCCACTATGACTCGAATAATTATTAGCATTTAAACCCATTTTCACTCATTTTAAAGTATATTTTTCTATTTTCATTTGATATCTATTTGAGCCTAATTGACCGTTAATTATGTTATCATGGTGAAAATGAATGGAAACCAAATAAGTATAAAGTAAAAGAGGTGAATTTCGAGTAACCGAGTTAATTACACGAGCAAAGACACTTCCTTGTGAAAGGCCGTGTAACTCGTCCGACTAAAGAAAATGTCTTTCTTCATTAGACGGGCAAAGACAGTCCGTATGGGAGGTCGTGTAACTCTCGACTTCAAGAAAAATGTATTTCTTAATTACACGAGAAAAGACACGCTCGTGTGTGAGGTCGTGTAACTCTCGACTTCAAGAAAAGTGTGTTTCTTAATTACACGGGCAAGGACACGTCCGTGTAGGAGGTCGTGTAACTCTCTAACTTCATGTTTGCTCAAGAAAACCCTAAAATTTCATTTTTCTTTCCTTCCTACTCTATTTTATTCATGCCTAGACAAGTTCCAAGTTCGTCCATCATGTTTTAATCAACCACACAACCTAACCGACATAACTAAGCCAACAAACACCTCATAACCTATACACAAGCTTAATCAATTATAATTACATCAATTGAATGGCATGAAGCATCAAAGAAACATACTTACATAGATATTCCATAATAACAAACAATCATATGCCAAACAAGCATGACAAGACCAACACCTCAATACCATACAACATAATTAGACGCTTAAGCAAATACATCAATTTTTATGGAAGGATCAAGTAAATGACATAAACAAAAACCCACTTACCTAGTTTGGATAAGGTTAGGTTCCTTTAGCTTTTCCCTCCTTTTTCCTTTCTTTTCCCTTCTCTCTTTCTTTCCTCTCTTTGCTCTCTTTCTTTTTTGTTTTTCTCTTCCTCACACTTGGTTTTTCTTCTATCCTTTGGCGCCTACTAGTTTTTTTAAAATGTTTATCATTCCCTCTCTTTCTCTATATATATATGTCTTCTATTTCCTTGCATTAAATAAGTCTATATGTTTCTTGAATTAATTAGGCAAGGTGTAAAGTAATTTGGTGAGTCATGTCGAAGGTGGCGGGTTTGTGTGCAAGTTAGGTGAGCGAGGCTTTCTTGCATTTAATGAAATGGCTTAGGTGTCCTAACTAAGGGATTAGACTAATTAAATACCCTAATTAACTTAGCTTTAAGTAATTTTACATATTTCCTTCATAGATTTTCATAAATTCCCCCTCTAAACTCGAAAATTCCCTTCCCTTCCATTCGATGTTTTCCAATGAAAATATTCCTATATTCTCAAAATTTTATACATACCCCTATTTCCCTTGTATACTATGTCCCAAGTACTTAATATAGAATGAGTGGTAATTAATTAATTTGTTTGAAACTTCATCCGAAAATTCTCATATAAGTACCGATTAACCATTATCACCAAATAGTTAAAATGACATTACAATTGCACTCATACTTAATGTATATTTACATGAATATTCCGGTATATATATATGTGTCTCATTAAAGATTTTCATGAGGGTTACATTTCTCTCTCCCTTAAAAGAATTTCGTCCTCGAAATTGACCTTTTCGAATAATTCGAGGTATTTATCTTTCATTTCTTCCTCCCGCTCCCGAGTCATTTCTTTGTGATCATGGTTTTCCCATAAAACTTTAACAAGACTAATCTTCTTATTTCTTAGCTTCTTGATCCGTCTATCAAGAATTTGGATCGGTTTTTCTTCATATGTTAAATTAGGGGTGAGGTTTGGTGGCTTCGTCTCTAAAATTTGACTTGGCTCTCCTACACACTTTCTTAACATAGACACATGAAATACATTGTATACTCCTGCTAAGGAAGGTGGTAGCAACAACCGATATGTTTTATCTCCTACTCGGTCTAGTATCTCGAATGGTCCAATGTATCATGGGCTTAGCTTTTTCTTTTCCCCAAATCGTAGTACACCCTTCATTGGTGAGACTCTTAGAAATACGTAATCACCAATCATGAATTCTAGATCTTTCATCCTTTTATCGGCATAACTCTTTTGTTTGCTTTGAGCTGCTTTCATTCGTAGGCAAATCCGGTTTACCACTTCGACTGTTTGCTACACCGGTTCGGCCCTAGCAACTTTCTTTCTCCTATTTCATCCCAATGCACATGAGACCTACATCGTCGTCCATATAAAAGCTTCATAGGGAGTCATCCCAATTGAAGCTTGATAGCTATTGTTATATGCAAATTCAGCTAAGCGTACATATCTCTCTCATTTTCTAGACTAACTCGAACGCATGTTCGAAGCATATCTTCAAGAATCCGGATTACACATTCGGATCTGTCCGTCGGTTTATGGATGATAAGCCGTATTGAAATTTAGCTTGATAACCATGACTTTATGTAGACTTTTTCAAAACGCGAAGGTGAATCGAAATCTCAATCGACATAATCAAAATTGAAATTTCATGTAGTCTTATAATTTCATTCAAGTATAATCGGGTATACTTGGTTTAAACTGTATGTGGTTTTAACTAGAAGAAAGTGCGTTGATTTAGTTAACTCGTCTACGATTACCCGGATG